GGGAAATAAAGACAATATAGATATCTGGTCACCTAAAAGACTGGATCTCTTCTAATATCAACCACCATCTCCATTTTCCCATTTCTTTGGCCCTCAAAGTAATGTGTACATTTTAGTAGGATTCCACCAGTCTTCTTCTTTCTGCATTCAATGGGTGTCAGCTCACTCCATACCTTTCTCTGCAAAGGTTATTTACCCACAAAGAGAGCTTTGATCTGAGGGGAATCATCCCATGCTCTAATATTGCTTACCTAATCTATTCCAAAAGGAATTAAAAAAGGGGGCTTATGTTAGATATGGTCCTTCCCAGTCTAAAAATTTGAAAAAGTTCCAGTAGAGAAATAGAACAAAAGAGAATTAAGAAAGTGTTCCTTACAAAGCTACTCTGGTAATATGCAAAGTGTTGATATAGGATATCATATAGTAGTCAAGGTTCTTGAAAATACTGATCTGAGTGGACTCCTAAGAAAAGTTGAGTTAAGAATAATTCCTTCTGCCCTGGCCGGTTTGGCTCAGCGGTTGGAGCATCGGCCTGCGGTCCAGAGAGACCTGGGTTCGGTTCCCGCTAAGGGCACGTACCTCGGTTGCAGTTTGTCCCCGGCCCTGGTTGGTCGTGTGGGTGGCGGCCACTCGATGTGTCCCTTCACATCGATGTTTCTCTTCACATCGATGTTTCTCTCTCTCTCTCTCTTCCTCTCTCTCCCTCCCGCTCTATCTGAACAAAAAATGGAAAAATGTCTTCGGGTGAGGATAAAAAAAAAAAAAAAAAAAGAATAATTCCTTCAAGTTTACTATATAGGGCATTAATGTTTAAAAGTGAATCAAATACATATTTTCTCTAATAGTTACACCTCCATTCCAAAGTAGTGCATTATCTCAGTGGTCCAAGTGGCAGATGCCATCTGATTCAGGACTGCAGATGTCACCTCTAATGGAAGGACTCCCAGAGAAACACAAGTGTAGAAAGGCAGTTACAGACGTGTGCAAAGTGTGTCAGGACATGTGTGTGTACTGAATACAAAAAAGCTGAAAAATGAATGACAGCTTTTTCTTTTATATCCAAATATTAAATATTGGTATGGTGAAGACAGGTTGTGCTGAGACAGATATTATCATAAACTGCTATTAGGAATGAAAGACCTTGTTCGACCTTTCCAGATGTAATTTATAATATGTCTTAATACAGGCATGCCTCATTTTATTGTGCTTCCTGGATACTGTATTTTTACAGATTGAAGGTTTGTGGTAACCCTGCATAGAGCAAGTCTGTTGGTGCCACTGGCCAACAGCATCTGCTCACTTCATGTCTCTGTGTCACATTTTGGTAATCCTTGCAATATTTCAAACATTTTCATTATTACTATATTGGTTATGGTGTTCTGTGATCAGTGATCTTCGATGTTACCTCAGCAAGATCCGCTATCAGCAAAAAGATTCCAACTTGCGAAAGGCTCACATGATGGTTAGCACTTTTTAGCAATAAAGAATTTTTTAATTAAGGTGTATACGTTGCTTTTTTATACACTTAATAGACTATAGTGTAGTGTAAATATATTTTTTACATGCATTGAGAAACCAAAAAGTTTGTGTGATTTCCTTTATTACAATATTTGCCTTCTGCAGTGGTCTGGACCCACCTGCCAACATCTCTGAGGTATGCTTATAATTTTAAACAGTTCCTATCCTTTCCCTGTGATCCATGACCCTACCCCGTAATCTACCTTCAGGAAATAAACGGATATGTGCACAAATATATAGGATTATTTATAACTGTGAAAAACTGTGTGGGGGTGTCTAAAAATGGGAAAAAGATTAAATTATGGAAAGTCTATTCAAAGAAAAATATGTAAACAATTAAAATGAATGCTTTTGTAAACCCTATTAAGAAAAGAGAAAAAAAATAAAACCATGTAACTTACTATTTCATAGTCACCAGATTGACCAAAAATATGCTTCTACAAATTTTTAATTTTAAAATGTTTATGATAATAAGTAGAGTAAAAAGAAAAGGACTGTAAAACTATATCATAGTCCAAGTAGATTTGAGTAAAAAGTAAAGGACTGTAAAACTATGTCATAGTCCAAGTAGATTTAAAAATCTTTTCTTAGGGATGACGTCAGCAAGATGGCAGAATAGGAAGGGTCTCAGCTGTTGTTCCCCCACAGTAACAGCAATTTAACAATGATACACAGATCACAATACCTTTGTGAGAATGCTAGAATGCAGTTAAGAAGTTTCAGTACTTCAGCCAAGTGAAAACCCAAGAAGAGCTGCATCGAAATGGGTAAAGAACAAAGTTTGGGAGAAAGGTGCATAACCTGTCTTCTCTCTTGGGAGGGAGGCAGAGGAACAGAGTGTGTGTCTGGCATTCTGGCTCATGAGTGGGCTGTCCAAGAGAAATGGTTTGTCTTGCCTGACTTGGGGCGAATCTGGAATACTCTGGATGCCTAGGCTGCAACTCAGAATAAGGGAAGGTGGCTCGCTGCTGCAGAACTGAAAACTTCCCAAATCTGGGGAAGGACATGGACATGCAGATCTAAGAAGCTCAACAATGTGCAATTAAGATAAAGTCTAAGACATCCACACCAAGACACATTATAATCTAATTGTCAAAAGTCAAGGATGTGGAGAGAATTTTGAAAGTAGCAAGAGAAGAGTGATTTGTCTTATACAAGGGAATCCCTTAAGACTATCATAGGATTTCTCTAAGCAGAAATATTGAGGTCAGGAGAGAGTAGAATGATATATTCAAAATGATGAAAAAATAAAAACCCTTGCAAACCAAGAATAGTATACCCAGCAAACTGGTTTTTAAAAAATGAAGCAGGGATAAAAACTTTCCCAAATAAGCAAAACTGATGCAGTTCATCACTGCTAGACCTGCCTTACAAGAACTGTAATAAAAAAACAAACAACAACCAAGAATATAAAATAAAAGGAAAAGAAAGAGCCACATGAAAGTATATAAAGTATAAATCTCACTGGTAAAGGTAAATATATAGATGAATACAGAATAATGAAATACTGGACAACTCACTTTTGACTGTAGTATACATGTTAAAAGAGAAAAGTACCAAGAATAACTATAAACACCAAAATTTGTTAACGTGTATACAAAAAAAAAAAAGTAAATTATGACAATAATTATAAACTTTATGTGTGAGGGGGAAGTAAAAGTATAGAGTTTCTGTATGTGATTGAAATTAAGTTAAATAGACTGTTAGAACTAAATGTTTTATGTAAGCCTCATGGTAACCACAAAGAAAATCCCTATAGAAAATACAAAAAAGAAAATGAGAAAGTAATCCAAACATGTTTCTACAAAATATCAATAAAACACGAAGAAAGGCAGCAACAGAAGAAAAGAGGGTCAAAAAGCTAAAAAAGAGAAATCAATTTATAAAATGTTAATAATAGTAAGTCCTTGTATGTTTTTCTGCATCTATGGAGATGATCATGTGATTTGTAACTTTTGTTCTATTAATATTTATCATATAAATTGATTTTCATATATTGAACCATCCTTGCATCCCAGGAATAAATTTTACTTGGTCATGGTGTATGTATGCTCCTTTTAATATGATGCTGAATTTGGTTTGGTGGTATTTTGTTGAAGATTTTTACATTTATATTCATCAGAAATATTGGCCTGTAATTTTTTTTTTTGTAGTATTTTTTTTTTCTCCTGGTTTTGGTATCAGGGTAATGCTGGCCCCATAAAATGAGTTTAGAAGTGTTTCCTCCTTCAATTTTTGGATGAGTTTGAGAAGCATTAACATTAATTCTTCTATAAAAGTTTAGTAGAATTTATTAGTGAACTATGATTACTGATTAAATCTCCTTACTAGATATAGGTCTATTCTGGTTTTCTATTTATTCATGATTCAGTTTTGGCAGACTGTTTTTAGAAATTTATCCATTTCTTTTAGGTGGTCCAAGTTGTTGGTGTAATCGTTTCTTTTATTTCTGTGGCTCAGTTGTAACACCTCTTCTTTCACTTCCGATTTCGAATCTTCTCTCTTCTTTTCTTAGTAGTCTAGCCAAAGTTTGTCAATTTAATTGATCTTTTCAAAAAACCCAATTCTTAGTTTCATTGATTTTTTTTCTATTGTTTTTCTAGTCTCTATTTCATTTATTTCTGCTCTAACCTTAATGTTTCCTTCCTTCTACTAACTTGAGGCTTTGTTTGTTCTTTTTCTAGTCACTTGAGGTGTAAAGCTAGGTAGTTTATTTGATATATATTTTTTATTGTATGTGTTTATCTCTATAAATCCCTCACTCCTTCATACTGCTTTTGCTGTATCTCATAAGTTTTGGTATGTTGTGTTTCTAGATTTAGGTAGGATCTACATGAAGATAAATAACTAAATAAAAAACATATTGTTAAATAATAGAACATAAATAAAAGATAACTAATTTATAGTATATTTTTTTTCTTTATTGATTGGAAAGAGAGAGGAAGGGAGAAGGAGAGAGATGGGAACATCGATGAGAGAGAACATCGATTGGCCGCCTCCTGCATGCCCTGCACTGGGGATTTGGCTCACAACCTGGGCCTATGTCCTGACTGGGAATTGAACTGGCGACCTCTTGGTACATGGGTCGATGCACAACCACTGAGCCACATAGTATAAATATCTACTGGAATAAGTGCTGCCACAGGCATATACCTGCACAGACCTTGTGAAGTTGAACCTATCAACATACATTCAAAATTTCTAATTGAACATATTAAGAACACAGCTCTTCTATTTCCTCTGATCAAACATACACACTTACACATGTATAACCTTTTATATATAAAATATTGTACATATAATATTAATATAATCTCCAAAATAATTATTTCTCTAGAAACAAAACAAAAATCTAAAAAAGAATTTAGACATTAATTAAACAGTTTTTTGGGTGTTTGTACAAAGTTAATATTTTTGGGGTAGAATGTCTATCATTGCATAGTTTTGATGAATAAATAAATAAGTTAATTAATTAATTTTACCTTTTGCAAGTAAAGAACTGTTCCCTTTAGTACGGCATAAAAGGTTTTCCATCCTCGCTTTCCTCTTGGAGCTAGAGAGGGAAAAAATGGAAACTTTTATTTGACAGAAATAAGCACTTTGGAAAGAGAACCTAAATGATCAACATGGTGATTGTGTCTCAATATTCCTGGTTCATTAGCTACCAGAAATAATAATGAGAATCAAAATTTTCTCGCGTTTTACTGTGTAACAGGCAGTATTCTAAAAATGTTTTCCTTGAATGATCTCATTTAATCATCACAGTAATCCTGAGAGGCAGGTACTGCTCCTCTTGCTGTTCACAAAACCGAAGCACAGAGAAGTAATCTCTCGTGGTCACACGACTAGGAAGAGGCGGGACCCGGGACCCAGATGGTATGCCTCTAGTCTGCACTCCAGTAGAGAGGACTTAGAGACTGGGACAGGAGAGGCCTATTGGAAATACATATTCATCCAAGAGAGTGTTTAACAGGTTCATGTGCCACAGCCTTTATGGCTTCGCCAAAGCTTCTAGGAATCAGAAGAAAAAAGTCTCGGAATATAAAAGAACTCCTCTTGGTGTTTCTCCCACACACCCACCAACCAGATTATAACTTTAATTATTACTCCTACGACAACCTGTGATACCTCTGCTGCGGAACGTGCCGCACTGTAACACAATGTTTTGTCCAAACTTCTCTTTCAGGAGACTGTGAATAGCCTGAGAGCCATCCTTCATCTTTAGAATTCACAGAACCTGACACCCTCATAACATTTCTCCAAGTGAGTTTTCTTTCAATCTTCCTGGTCTATAAAGTACGTAGGATTTCTCTATTGAGTTATATAAACTTTTACAGATTGTCCTAAAGCAAAAGAACAGATAAGCAAAAAACAGTTTAACTATTTATTCTTAATCTTAATAAAATTAAATCTGTAACTGGAAAATGCTGTTTTTGAAAAAAACATGTCTATCCAAATAGGTGGTGGTGGTGGGGGGCTACTTATTCTTATTCCTTTATCAAATTTGGCTGCCTTTAGATTGTCTTTAACTTGGACACCTGATTAAATTAGGAAATACATCATTCTTAAGATTTAAATCCTTTAAATCTCCTTTGACTGATGACTCAAGAATTCTTAGGCTTGGAAAGTGGGTGCACATCCACCTACGAACATGGGTGCTCCTGCCAACAGCACGCTGAGCTTTCCACCTGGCACAAGAGGACTCAAAACATCCGCTCTGCAGGTTTCCAGGGGAAATTAAAAAATAAATTGTCCCATCTGTTTCTACTATGTAAGATTTAAAAGTGTGTACTCAAAAACAAATGATCAAAAAAGTACACCATAGCCTCCTTTATAAAGAAGAAAGTGACCACCATAAGTAGAATCATAGATCACATGTATAAAAGACAAATACTGGCTATCTTCACCAGATGGCAATGCTGACATGGTGGATGTGACCAGGGGCTGCGGGCTCTGTCGCAGAACAGGGCCAGGGTGTGGTGGAGGCGGCTGATGTGACGGCAGCTGGTATCTGGACCTTGCCTTAAACTTGTCCTCTCAACCACCAACCCATAGTAACTGGGAACTCCCGGCCAATCCCTCTAATTCCCAGGACTTCAGTTAGGTGGATAATCCACATAACTAAAGGCAGAGCGCCGGTTAATGCTGGAAAGGATTTTGGGAAAAACATTTTTTTCTATAGGAGAAATATAGATTCCGATTTTAGAGGGTTTCCCTAAAGCCCTAAAACTAGTTTAGTAGCATCTTGAGATTCCTTCAGTTCCAAGATCTACAAATCTATATTTCTACTTTTCAAGTAGAAATCCCCTTTCTGAATCCATGTACATATTCACAAAAATTTGTAACAGCTTTTTGTCATCACCACACTAAACCTACTAGGAACAGATCCCAAAGATCTCTCCAACTGAAATGGGATCTCATCACCCACGGGTGACTAATGCTAGTGCCGTGGGCTTTAACCCTGCACTGATTCTCACTTTTCCACCTGCCCTAGCAGTGGCAAACCTAACCTTGTTTTTGGTCAACAACAATTTAGTTGTTTAAGCTTAATGAGGTAACCAAGTCTCCTAACAAGAAAACTTAGAAGCAAGTGCTCAAAGTATATAACTAGTGTGCTACAAAAGCACTGCTCTACATGATTTTACATGTATCAACCCAGCAAACTCATACCATAATTCTAAAAATAAAGTACTAGTATTACCTCCATTTTATAAATGGGATGGCGTGGGTGTAAATGAGTGGGATTCAGGGAAGAAAGGGACCACTGTGCACTACAGCACACTGGGAAAGGCCCTCTGGAGGCGGCTCAGCTGCCCTGATTTTAACCACCCCCTCCCCCGCCCCCCGCGCTTCTATGGCCTTTGTTTGCTGAGGCTCCTCCTGTGAAACACATGGGCTAGACACCAATGAACGAGGGGCATGTTCCTCACAATGGGGACCGATGAACAGTTAAAACTGATTTCAGGGCACATATTAAGTATAAACAACTAGGGAAAGAGAAGAAACTGTAGTTACGTAAGGAACGTGATGGGAAGAATGAAGGACATTGATGTGATCCCAATGAATCCTATTCAAAGGCTTTACTTACAAGGTAGTAGGAAGCTGGCAGGTAGATGTATTTTAACAAATCTGGTTGTCTATTGTGAAAAGATGTTTATAAGCTTGATCAAAAGATCCCATGACCTTTTGATCCCAAGCTTTCATGGTTTAACATGCATACTCAAAGTCCGAAGATAATCAGTTCCTTTCTTTCTTCCTTCTTGAAAATACCAGGATCTTGAAATATTTTAATTTTAATCATCTGCTTCCAACATTACATGATGGAATTTATTACTTTATATATTTTTTAATACTATTAAAATGGACATTATTTTTCTATAAACTGTCATTGTCTGCTTAGATTTACTTTTATATTTATTACTACCTCCATTCATTACTCTTTCTGGACCTCAGATTGAGTTTTGGAGGCCATTTTAAAATTACCTCTTGAAATCTATACCTAGCACTTTCTTTAATGATAGACTTTTTGTGGTAAGTCTTTTTCTATTTTTGTGTATATAAAAATGTCTTTATTTCATTATCAGTCCTAGGCTGACGATGACTTTTTCTTATGAAGGTATTGTTTCACTATCCTGTCATTGTTGGGATGTCAATCTTGAGTCTAAATGTAATGTCTAAGTATAGGTTTGTTTTAATTTTTCCCACTTGGTTTTCTTTTCCTTTTTTTAAAGGATCAAAATATACTTCTTGAATTTGGCAATCAAGAGGGCCATGGTAGTCTCCTAGTACAGTTTTTTTCTTTTAATTTTAATTAACTTATTTATTCTTATTACAGATGTCCTCTCGCCCCCGACTGACACCCTCCTCCCCGATCCCCCACCCTCAGCCTTCACCGCACTGTGATCCATAGGCTGTGCATATATGCATATAAGTTCTTTGGTTTATCTCTTACTGCCCCCACCCCCCTTTCCTCTGAGGTTTGTCAGTCTGTGCCCTACTTCCATGTCTCTGCATCTATTTTGTTTGTCAGTTTATTTTGTTCATTATATTCCACAAATAAGTGAGATCATGTGATTTTATCTTTCTCTGACTGGCTTATTTCACTTAGCATAATACTCTCCAGGTCCTTCCATGTTGTCTCAAATGGTAAGAAATCTTTCTTTCTTACAGCTGCATAATATTCCATTGTGTAAATGTACCACAGCTTTTTGACTCATTTCTCTAGGCTTCCTGTGTATCATTTCCCAACACTTCTAGTCCTTATATCTTTGAATACTGTCTCTCCTCCATGTGTCCACCTTTGTAATCCAATACTCGACTCCTCACTCATTCCACGCCCCTTCACATTCTACCTTTTTGTCCTTTTGTGCTAAAAGCGGTGTCATTATATCTCCAGCACGCCTTCCTGGGCACCCAGATACAGAGATGCCCTTAGGGTTTTAGCAGCCCCAGAGATAACTGACCTCCCTAGATTAGAAAATATTTTATCATTTTCAGATGTTTTATAATGAGTTTCAGAATTTGTAGGTCATTATATTGCCAAAAACAGATTCTCTAGTTCTTCTTTCTTCCTCTTAAGAAATTTTTTTCTTTATTGATTTTAGTGAGAGAGGTAGGGAGAGGAATAGAGAGATTGAAATATCAATGAGAGAGAACATCTACTGGCCGCCTCCTGCATACCCCACACTGGGGATCGGGCCCACAACCCGGGCATGTGCCCTGATCAGAAATACCGGCAACTTGGTGCATGGGTCAACGCCCAAGCACTGTGCTGCATGGGCTGGGCATCTCTTTTTAAATTTTTTTTTTTTTATCCTCACCCGAGGACATTTTTCCATTTTTTGTTCAGATAGAGCGGGAGGGAGAGAGAGGAAGAGAAAGAGAGAGAAACATCAATGTGAAGGGACACATTGAGTGGCTGCCACCCGCACGACCAACCAGGGCCAGGGCCAAACTGCAACCGAGATACGTGCCCTTAGCGGGAACCGAACAGGGTCTCTCTGTACCGCAGGCCGACGCTCCAACCGCTGAGCCAAAACAGACAGGGCTGTTTTTAATTTTTTTTAATAAAAATTTACTCACACATTTTGTAATCTAGTTAGAATTCCTTTGGAGTAGGATATAGGAGACAGGAGAAATTAGAACAGGGAACACCAAGAAGGAGGTTACAACAATTTCCCAGATGAGAGAAAAAAAGGCCAAAATATGGGTAGAGAGTCTCAATAAATGAAGAAAAAGAACTGGAACGTAAGGGGGAGGCAGTAATGTTAACTGAGCACCTATACTGCAGTGCTCTGGGCACTGGGCAGCTTTATCAGCATACAATCTATTTCAGCCAAACGATCCTTTTAGTTAGGTAGGTAGTTCTTATTAATCACTAATTACATTTGCAGTTCTAAGAGGTAGAGTAAGCTGCTGAGGAGGCTGCCTATCTAAAGATTTTGAAGCTACTATACAGGGCAATTTAGATGACAAAACATGTTCTAAGGGCACTTTAAGAAGAAAAAACTTTCCAGGTGACAACCCTTTGCAATGGTCATGCCTACTACTCGA